TGTTTGTGGTTGTAATGTGACAAAATATGGAAAAGTTCAAGGGGTATAAATACTTTTGCAAACCACTGTAAAAGACAAAAACAATTTGTTTTGCTGATCATTAGGGTGTGAAATCGATTTTGTTATTTTAAGCTAGTGTTCTGCTTCTATTAGTTTTAGCAACTCAATTTCAGCTTTTTCAGTAAATGCCAACAAAGTCATTCAGCAACATTCTCCCTATATTTTTACAGAACTTGCATCGTTTCTTGCTGTGACATAGAAATTTGGAACTGAGCTGTGGTTTTGTATTTTTGTTTTTAAGGTTTGACCCATCAAACAKTAAGACTCCAAGAGGGTCGGGGGCCAAGGAGCGTAACAAGCTGTCCACAGAGGAGCGCAGAAAGCTGTTTGAACAGGAAGTTGCTCAGCGGGAAGCCCAGAAGCAGCAACAGCTTCAGCAGCAGCAGCAGCAGCAGCAGCAGCAGCAGCAGCAGCAGCAGCTCCAGACCATGGCTTATGATCCTGCTCTCTATGCCTCCAGCCCTGGCTTCATCACCTACCCTCCTGGATACCCCATACAGACTTTTGTAGATCCCTCCAACCCCAATGCAGGCAAAGTTCTCCTTCCCACCCCTCCTGTTGATGCCACCATCAGCTACGACCAGACATCCCCTCAACACCTCGTCTCAGACCTGAGTCTGCCCTCTCCGTCTTCCACGTCCCAGATCCCTCCAGCTTCCAGCCTCACTCAGCACATCACCACCACAAACCTCACCACTGGCAACACGCAGCAGTTCGTCCAGCCAGCCGTGGCCACCCAGGAGGCGGGAGTAGCCGTCCTTTCCGTCCCGGCTCAGCCCGCCCCTCAGGTGCAGGGCCAGCAGAGCTACGCCACCCTCTGGGATCCCAGCACCCAGCAGGCGGTGACGGTGCAGACGCAGCCGGCGCAGCAGTACGCCACGGCTCCGGGTCAGGCTCAGACACAAACGGCCATCTATTACCAGGGCCAGCCGTGTCAGACCATCTACAGCATCCCCGCTGCCTATCCTCAGACCAGCACTCCTGTCATACAGGTAGGCAAAAGGAGCCATTGAATTCTTGTTGCACATTTAAAATCCACAGCTTGTTCCTCTGATCACATTACACTCTGTGTTTGAAGGCCTACACAGAGCCCGCTGCCAGCTACCTGCACGGGCAGCCGGTGTATCCTGGTCATCAGCAGGGTGTGGTGGTGCAGCAGGGTGGCACAGTCACCACTATTGTCACATCCCAAACTGTTCAGCAGGTAACTAACGTCGTTCGTTCAGTTCTGGATTTCTGTAGTGCAAACGGGAGAGAAAGAGGACAAATTCATAACTGTGAGGAAAGAAAAGATTAATTAAAATTTTTAGGGATGCACGATAACTTATTTTAAGAACTGATAACCGATAACATTCTCCTTCTAATGGCTGATAAACGATAATAACCTATAACATGCCAGGAGATAAACCAGTCAAAAATGAGTAGGATCATAACATGACATAAAATGACACTGTAAATTATATTATTTAAAATAAACTCTTAGCAAACAAACATTTCTTTAAGTATATCAAAGAAAACAATTTCTCAAATGGCCATCTTTTTAAAGGGGACCTATTATGCAAAATTCACTTTTTAAAGGTTTTTTCTTTTACTCAACTTTGGGAATGTACTTCTTTAAAAAAACAGTCCTAGGACCAAAAAATGCACCCAGGGGCATATTTACTGTAAGTAAATGTATTTTTAATGTATATTAACGACAAGTTTTATACTTCCGTCATTTTGTGATGTCACAAGCCGTACGACAACCCACCGGAACCTGCGTTCAGCCCCTTACCTAGCACTCCACCTTCTCGGTATAAAGAGTCGTCGCGGTGTTGTTGTGTAATGTGCAGCTCATTTCCCAACAAGCTTCCAAAAGTGCAATGGGTAGAGTGTTGGACCAGAGAGTGGGAGACCAGGGTTCGAGACCGGCATTTATTTATTTATTTATTTA